TTTTTGGAACAGATTGTATTTGAAAAATTCATACTAAAGCTTGTTTTCTGCTGAAGTCGTAGTTTCGAGGAAAATCACTGCGTTTTGATAGTAATTAATCATTGTGTTTTCAATTAATAGCAAGTGTGTTAAATTAATAGGTCGAAAAAAATATGTATGAAATCAATTGCTCTTTTTAGGTACGCTCCGCTACTAAAGAATGATGGGTCCCAATTGAATTTGGAAATAATATGAAGCCTTGCATGTTATATACGTGTATGTATGTGTGTGTGAGATTCTCACAGAAAGATTATTTTTATTGAATTAAGCAATCATGAATTACTCGTTGCAGGTCAGAAGAGCTAAAAATGAGTGCGTTGATTGATCGACTTATAGATTTGGGACAGTGGGCTTCTGCAATATCCATAAGTAGTTATATGAAGGTGCCTTCGAAAAATGGAGTTCATCGGATATTGGCTCATTGGGCGCTAAAAAAGGTAATTTCTTGATGAGAAGTGCTTTTTTTGTTCCGATCTTCAATTTTTACATTCTCTTTCTCTGTTTCGAGTAATTCAAGCTCTGCGCTTAATATATTTATACTTGATAAAATTTCCTTCGTATCTCATATTAAATAAATGCCTTGTTCATTTTCTTCAGATCGAGATGGTAAAAGCGGCAAAAGAAATTGGGAAAACACCCGATTTTAAAGCTTTATCAGAAACAATTGTCGGAAAATTTACGAATTATCCAGAAGTTAGCTTTGCAGGTTGGATATCTTCTTGAAGCATCTTAATTAATAATTTTCAGAGCTCATTTTAATAATATGCACTATTGACTGATAACTTTTTAACAAGTTATGAGTCAATAACGCATGTTCTTATAGATGTTGCAATGAAAGCTGCTGCTGCCAATTTAAACGAATTAGCTGAACTTTTGCTGGATAGAGAAACATGCCTTAACAGACAAGTCGAAATGCTTATGAAGTTGAATAAAGTTGATCGAGCCTTAGCAAAGGCTGCAAAAAGTCAACAACCAGATCTTTGTAAGTATACTTAATATCTTTTGATATATCTGGTTTTATCAGCATTTTCATCATTTTAGTACTGTGCTTTAGTTGAAGTTCATAACGCATATACAATCATAAACTTTTAGCATGTTCAGTTACAGTTAAGGTATAATTATCGCATTTCAGTGCACTATGTTTTAACATATTTGAAAAGAACGCAGAAGAAGGAAGTCATTGATCACCTTGTGTTAAAATTACCGCAAGCTCTTTGTCTGTACCAGGATTACTTAAAGGTAATGGTATTACAATCGAGAAAAGTTTCTTTAAAGAATCAATTGTGGTGCATTCTGTATTTTAAAAAGAATTGATTATAGGAGGAAGCACCTCGTCATCTTCTGGCGTTGTATGTGCAGAAAGACGACTTTGCTCGTCAATCGTTGTACTATTTGAAAGAATCTGAAGCTACACCATGGAATCCTTTCGATAATAAGGATAAGATAGAGGGACTGTTGAAAGCAGAAATGAGCTTGAATAAGTTGAAAGTATGTGAACTATTCATTTTGCTTTGTGAATCAAATAACCGATATTGTGATGAAGTATTGGCTGGAATCATTAGTACTTTGACATATTCAGGAATTTCGTTTTTAGGAACATACAACTGCTCAGTTGGCTACTGAAACAGCGGAATTATTTAGTATATGCGAAACTTTGGACGGAAAACCTGGTTTTAATGATATTGACAGGGCAAGTGTTAGATGCGTTTACATGTGGGCTGTGGGACATCGAGAAGATAGTTTGGCGGAACTACTTAGAAAGAAATTTAAATTAACTGAGAAAGCGTATGTTTCTTTGTTTTTCTTTTGGATGAAGTGTTCTATTTTGAAACCAACTTCGATTATCTTTTATTAAGGATAATAGTAAAATTCAGCGTATTTTAGCATGGTAGTATTTCCATTGCCATTTTAGACATTCATTATAAACACTTTTTAAAAAAAAGCTTGAAATAATTCCACTTATAGTAATTCGAATTTTATATAAGATAGTTGGTTCCAAAACTAAAAATGATTCGTAAAAACAGAAAGCAGTACTTATTAACATTTCATGTAGACTCTAACAGAATTAGTTAGAGTTTACATGGAATGTTAATAAGTACTGCTTTCTGTTTTTACGAATCGTTTTTAGTTTTGGAATATATAAGATTAGTGTAATGGAATTAATCATATTTTGTAACTGGATAGTTTCGTTAGGTAGTGATTACTTAAACGATTCCGCAGTTTGTTAAAAGCGGTGTTTAAGCAGTATAAAAATATGAGTACTGTAACAAAGTTTTAAACGACCCTGATGATTTTGAACTTCGTTTTGTAGATCATACATGTGGAAGATTGAAAGCTATGCTCGTAATAAATTATGGCATCACCTTGAAAGCTTATTCAGATCCAAAAAGATTCTTACAAGTTTCATGGTAAGTCGAATTGTATTCTTTGTTCAATATTACATTAGCTAATCGTCACAGTATTCTTAATGTATCATAACTTTTATTTTATATTTAACATCACTTAAAATTATTTTCAGCCATTTATCGAAGCTTGTGCACGTTATGGTAATGAATCCTTGTGCAGATCATTCATTGAGAAACTTACAAATCCCGTAGAAATAGTGGACAGTCTGCTCTTGTTGGAGTTAGATATTTTTTTGCTCATTTTTTTCATATTAAAAGTTTTTACTAAGGAATTAGCTTATTGATACAAAAATGTAATAATTAAATTCTTTGACGGATTGTGGGCTCTCTTCAGTTTTTAGAAAATATGTTACAAAGTTCAGTAGTCTAATATATATACTCACGGTTTCTTCCGATAACATCTTCATGTTCAGAATTAAATCATGCATTGTTGTGGCACTGCTTTTTGCTATTGAAAGTAGTTGTTACAGAAAACCAGTTGAAGCTGCAAATTATGCTGCTGAAAAGAAATTATTTGTCGTGCTAGAAAAAATTCATGCTCGATATCGGGGAAACAAAGATGTTGCTCCGGTTATCACACAAATTTTAAATGCTACAAGGAAGACTTGATATCAGTGCAATATTTCCAAGTGTTTCTGTGTTATATGTATCAGTTATTTCAAGACTTTTAGTGTAGCATTTCCTTTTGATGTTTGAATCATAAATTGGACTTGGCTAAATATAAGCTGTTGGAAGATGGATCACACACAAATTAAATTGTTAGTGAGGAACCTAAAAAGTTGAATTGAAGTAGGTTAGTGTTTATAATTGTTCTAGTAATCATGGTACAGTTACTTCTGCCTTCAGTATTTCTCGGAGGATATGAGGTGATTGAAAGATTTTGCTCAGTTTCACAATCGAAAAATCACTCATAAGCTTTGCTTAGAGTTAATTTTTAATATTTTCTTTTATTTATTATTGTTAGTTTTTAAAAAATATAAAATTCATCATCTTTTAAATACATTTTGCTAAGTTTCCTAATACTAAATTTGTGCTGTTTTTTGATTTCAGCGATCTTTTTGTATCTTCTTTATCACATTTTCATGAAATCTTAAGTTACTGTTTTGAAAATTAGATTTATTAAATCTTATTGCTAAGCCCGCTTAATTTTCGTGCTTTCTGGAGAATTATCTCCCAGACTTATTGCTGTTGCAAAGGTATAGTTCTATAAATATAATTTGCACCGTTGGACGTTTGTAAACTATTTGAGATGTCCGCGGTTCATATTGCACATCGAATTGTCCATTTCAACACTTTTAAATCCGGTATTTAACGAAATTTTTCAGGATAGAGGAAACATCAGTTAATATGTTACTGGAAGCTAAAAGCACAGCTATTTCCCGGTTACGTGAAAGAAGGCGGGAACGTATTTTGCGAAACTCAGATCAGCGCATTAGAAGGATTCTGAGTGGACCAAATGGAAGTCAGTTTTCAATGGTTATTATCTATTTATTATAAAGAATTAAATCAGAATTGTTCAGCATTTGTCTTAATTTTTAACATGTTCAGCGGAGGTACGAAACGCACCTGCTTTGGAAGGTGGAGAAGGTTTCAAAGATTTGGTATATACATATGGAACTCCAAAAAGGTGAAATACAAATATATTTTTGGCCGGGCATATGGCCATTTGTTAATAATTTTAGTTTCACGTTTATATTCTAATTTCATATTTCATTGCATCGTTGGATGATTTCATGAATGAAAATAGTGGCGAACATATGGCAACCAATAAGTCGATGTTGTCATCTTCGTTATCGTATATATCAGTGAGTCGTTTATGGAAAGCTTTACTTGTTGGTATGTTCCGTGCAGTTTATTCCAAATCACTTTTTGTCACAGCAATCTGGAATCTAGATCTGTCTTAGAATATTTCTTTATTATTTTCATCTTTTCGAAATCGGTGCGAGGCATGTACTTTTAAGCTTATTGGGATAGTAGTATGGCTGTGAAATTTTTGAAAATTATCGAGTTTTATTTTTTGCAAAAAAAGTTTTATTTTCGGTCTTGGAATTTTTTCTTTCCGTTGTAAATCAAGTTCTGTCTCTGCAGTGTAAATCCTCTTTTCAATGAATTCATCCTTTTCGTATTTCACCACTTTAATTTTAGGATTGATTATGCGATTGGCAGTTTCCTTTTTGTTGATACAGAATATTATTTGGCCTTGGATTATTCTTTACATAATGTCTGCATGTAAAAGGGTTTTCCAGGTTTGATGTTTATAGATTCTTCATCAAGATTTAGAAATATCGATGTTACATAAGCGTCTCATACAAAGGTGGTAAACTCTATTTCTCCAAAAAAAATCGCACCAGCTTACTATGCAAGAGTTTAGCAATTGGTTGATTAAAAGGTAATTTTTTGAATAATAGTGTTTATCTAACTAACAAATTAATGAAAGAATTGGTTTTAGTTTTCATCGCTGTGGAATGCTGATGGTCACTTTTTTCGTTCAAGACTACATTTGGGATTGAATATTGATCTTTTATCACGTGCGGGTTTGTCATAAGATATAAGAGAATACAAGTTTTCTTTTTTTATTTTTCTTTTTTCTTACTGTTACCAAAATAGTATTTCAGGTTTCATTGCTGAGAAATTATGGTGCTTCATCAAAGAGTCTTTAGTGATTGCTTTGTCTTTTATATTATTTAATGCACTTTTTTGCGTTCTTGCTCTGATTGTTGATAGGTGCTGCTCACTATAGGTTTGTTTTTAGACTGATTTTGTTGGCTTCAATAGCCTACTTCTTTCTAAATTATTGTCGTTTTAATTGGCAAAAACATTTTGCGACTGAAATTTGAAATCAAACTGAAATAGTGTAATACGTAAATTGTCGACTAATTTCTATATTTTTGAATCTCTCTGAGATTAGAATGATGCAACTGTAACAGTCTGTCAGAGACAGACTGTTATAGTCACGCGACTCTTTGATTAGTATAATTTAGTGATAACTATAAATATTCTTTTAAATGTGGATATAATCCATCCGTTTTCTGTGTTCGGTTTATATACCTCATTATGTACTACTAAGTCAACTAATAAATCTCGATTCTATCTGCTCTTGATTCATGCATACATACAAAGCCCTTCTCCGTTTCACCAATGAATTCGCGGATATTCTTAAATATTTAACGAGCAGTGTAACATTGTCCATCTCTGGAGAATCATCTTCAGCTTCTCTGAAGTATTGAATGAGTTGAATATGAGAGGAGATTCCTTCGTGCACAGAAATAGGAAGATTGTTTTTCCTGCCTTCCAATTAATGAAGACAAAATTGTAAGCAAACTGGAACCGATCAAATTCACCAGCTCATTATCAGTTTTAGTCAGAAACTGTTATCAGTTCTTTTTGATGGCTATTTGATATTAGGGGAAATTCTTATCCCTACACCATTTCAAGTTCATTCCATTCATCCAGGCGAATGAGGAGCTTTGCTGTTTATTATTGACCCATTTGTGGGAAGTTGTCGGAATAAATGCCAAATAAAGACCAAATCTCTTTTCAAAGTTGAATTTTTTTAATATTTTTTGTCCTCAATACTTTTGGTCATTCATTGACCGTGTGGATCTTTAGCATGTTATTATTTTCTACTTCTCGTCGATTTCTTTTTCAAATAACCTAAAGTTTACTGGCAAAACACTCTATTTGGAATGACGAGAAGCTCAGTTCATCTTTACTGATTTCTACGACCTCTACGACTTTTCCATTTGCACTCTAATATCCAGACATAACGCTTTATGGATTATTATTTTAAGTGTACTACTTAAGGAAGTGACACAAAAAAACCTTCGACTTTTTTATCACCAATCGCTTCATTACCACTCAGCAGCAATTGATGAATGCACTCAGCTGAACTATTCTTTAGTTCTTCACTCTACAACACTTACAACTTACAATCAGCCGGATTAGGCCATTCAACTAGAAATTGGAGAAACTTGATATCCCTCATAAAGTATGATCTCGACAGCTCAATTTCACCATTGCAATAACTGCTTTTATCAGATTGCTTGAAAATTTGTCATTTTGATCAATCCTTGTTTTACTCTCATGTCCAAGCACAACGCTTTAAAGAATAGTCAAGCAACAGAACTTTGAGGTTATCAGTTATGACGCTTCTCTGGCAATAATATCCTAAACAATTAAATTTGAAAGAGTGATGATACAGTCCAATCAGTTCCTTTCATTCGACTGATGTCAATTAAAATTTTTCCTTTTATCAGGACAACTTTCGATGAGAGAAATATTGTGTAACATTAATTTGTGGTCAGTATGTCATGTTTATCCTTCGTCGTGAAAGTTTTTGATTAAGTAGTTTGCTGTTTTGCAGATAAAGATCGTTGCAACGGTTTGTTCACTGTAGAAGATTAAAGGTATCATGTGACAATTATAATGTTAACAGACGAACATTTCTTCTTGATTATTGTTGACTGAAATAATCGTTTTGAAGTTTGGGAATTGATAAGCGATTAGTTGCTTCGCAGTCTAGGAGAGAAAAGACATTACTGTTAAAGCTAAGATTCTCCTTCGAGAGTGTAACAGTAATGAATTCTAATTCCTTGTATATTGGATAATTTACAAAAACACATTATGATATAATTCTATTGGATACAAAAATAGACAGGTGGATGAGGGAACTGTTTTACATTTTACAACCATTGAACTTAGTTTTAGAATGGAAGAATTTACATGTGAATTAGATGTTCAAGATATAAATTTGCCAGGTGCTTAAGAAATATAAAATTTAAGCTTGAAGAATTTACGTATGATTTGGATAAACGAAAATTAGAACAAATTTTTAGAATGCAAGTACCTTGATTATTTAGATACAAAAATTGCTTTGTAAATATTTATTTCGATTTTTCTGACACCTTAATTGTGGTTCATAAAGGTTCATGTCCTCTTTTAAACATGAATATAAGCCAAATGTTTCTTATATGTAAGTCAGCTATTTCGTTTTGTCCTGCTTAGTTGCACTATGAACTCTCCATTATCCTCTTTAATCTCCATAATCCTCCTTTGTCTTCACAGTAAACTCCAGGTTAGCGTTACAAAGCATACACTGCAACTCATTCACTTGTGACTAGTCCTATGCAGCTTCTTAGAAATTATTATTATGCGGTTATTATTATTAAGCAGTTATAACAAATTGAAAGTACAGATAATTTCAATCTGTTAGAATTGCCTAATAGTAACTGCCTAACAAGGTATTGTAAATGAGGCAAGTAATAAAAGCTGCTGTTCTGATGTGTCTGATCTGTTACGAATGCTGAATATGTATATTTTTTTTTAAATCCGGTAGCAGATCCTTATGGGAGAAAGTTATGTATCAACAATTCTTTCCAGAAATTTTCGAAACATACTCAAATATGTTTGTGACCATTACAAGCGGAAAGGAAAGCCTCAAAAATTAGAGCTAACTGTCATGTTTGTTGATAAACTAGTTGACATTTCAATTACAAATTCCATATATATTTCACTTAAGAGATGAAAAATATAGGTCATTTTTTTAGACAAAAATTACGAAAATTACGAAACAACGGCCTATTTACCTGTCTTTATCAATTAGATGTTCACCTACTCTGCATTAAAATAATTGTAAACTACCTTAAAAAAACAGTTTAAATATGGGTGATTAGCCGTATATTTGAACATAGAAGATTACTTCCTCTTGATGAAGCAAGTTCTTTCCACAAATTTCGAGAAATCCTTGCTCTACTTTTTAGAAAACTTTAAACTTTTGTTTGTTCTTAGAAACAACCAGATAATAACAATATTTTCGTTTCGCTCATGTTGGGTACTTAACGATGATAGAACGAGTAGTAAGTAATTTCACTCCTGTAAGTAGACATGTTAAAATGCATATCTTTAATCGATGTTTCAAGTGACCCATTTTGTTAACACTCATTATCTAATCTTTCAACATTTATTTCTTGACACAACTCACAATTTACTATTTGCGAGTCTATTTTACTATTTAGTATACTGTCTTCACCTGACGACAACGCAGATATCTGTAATAAACGGAATGGTTAGGCATAATTCTTTGTGATATTATCTGACTATGCTTAACCCAATATAAACTGGCTAATATCTTTGTTTAAAATACGAGTGGTTGGAATAACGAACGAATTTTTTCTTTCTAAATGAAGAAAAAACTGGGAGAAATTTACATACTTGCTATATTTTTACAACTTTACTCTTTTGAATGACAGGCTTATAACAGCTATATTTCTGCTACTTGTTATACATTTTAAATTCTTTATTTTCCATATGTGTGTGTATGATATATGTGATGCTACTGTAACGTCTATGTTTATTTTAACGGGTTTTAAGAGTTCATAGCATATGCGATTTATGTTTAAAATTATGTCCAGTTATAAAAGGAAATTTTCTAGACTAAATATTCGTGTGCTTTTAGAGCTTCTACTATTAAGAATATTACGATGATCGTTTTGAGGAATAGAAGCAGCATTTGGGCTTTCTTTGCTGATTATTCTAATCTATTTACGGAGTTAATTTCAAAAATACAATTAGCAAACTAAATTCAGCATAAGAATTAAATGTTAAGGTCGTGAATTCACATACTCTGCCATTAAATAACAAATTTCAACATATTGACCTAACTGTGAAAATGTTTGGAGTATGAAAATTGAACAATTTGAACAATGCATGTTAGCAACATTTCCATTCATTGGTCTAATTATTGTAAAATGGATGAACAGTTATCAGAGATAGCTTGAAGTATTTCAGGAAACAAATCTGCCAAAATTCATTTATTAAGGATTAAATATCTCCAGATTAAATAGGGAAGGTAGATCAGTGTCTTTCCAAAAAGCAATCATCACATTTAGCAAAATCAATTTATGTATGAATTTGGATGATTAAATGTTCAGGTAGTACACTATCAGAGAAATCAATCACAATGATTTGCAATCGTTAAATTGGCAAGAAAGCAAGAACGGTCAATTTAGGTGCTAATTCACTACTTTGGATATTGTGATACATTCAACAATGTAATAATAATTGATTGTTGTGTCACTCATATATGGCTTACAGTCAGATTCCCCTTCCACTCTTTCATCCTTCCATCCATCCATCTATCCATTTGAGCTTTCAATTCACTACGAATTACCTACCAAATGTCATTGCATTCATTCATTATACACCAACGGTTTGCTTTACTCAATGAATCATTCACTCATTCATTTCCTTTTGTACTATTATATTCGAGCTTACACAGCTGCTGCTTTTATTGTTGCTCGTCTTCTAAAAGAAGGTGCTATTATTATCATTGGCATGTATGTGATCACATTTTTTTCCTGCTTTCATTTCACTCCCTCAGATGCATTTTCATTAAATTTGATTGTTAGCTTATCCAATCAATTTACAAGTCTTTGCTGTTTGTAAACAATAGTTATCTTTTCTTGCATATTTTTGATTATAAGAGTACATTGTTCATATATGTTATAAATTATAGTAATATCATTCTTTATTTTGTTATCGATACAAGTTTGTGATATTTTTGGGAGTTGGGTCCAAATGACATATTTAAGCAAACCATAGATCGGTTAACTTATTTATATTGAGAACATTCTGGAATTTTTAGGTATAACTTCAATAATTTTTCAATTAGGGTAATTAGGGTCATTAGGAACTTCGTTCCTGTGATTGATTAATGGATGTTGGCATAAATAACTGAAGATAGTTTTTATAAAAAACGATATGTTTTTATGCCTCTTTATCTAATTGCTCCCTTCCCCCCCCCCC